TCTTATGATCACGGTCTGTGCACTGAATATCCCGCCGCGTAATTACTGGCAGCGCGAGCCAGTTACTATAAGTTACTATAAGTTACTATAAGTAACTGGCTCGCGCTGCCAGTAATTACGCGGCGGGATATTCAGTGCACAGACCGTGATCATAAGATAGCGCAAATAGAAAATAGAATTTAGAAAATAGACATTGCATGTGAACGAAGCCTAAGAATCATTTCAGTCAGATGTTTTCACTGGTTTGCTTTATAATAAATCTAGACTGGTTGGTTTTTAGTAAAATTATCCAAATTCTAATTAATTTTTTATATCTTTGGAAAAGCCGGTTTTACTTTACTGAATATTCCTAAATTACATTTTTTAAATCTTATTTCTTTCTATTTCATGTATTTATATTTAAGTTTTAATCAAGAAGTTTAATAGTTATACTTGTTCAAAAGGCTCGCATGGAGTAGCAGGCTGTATTTAAATGTAAAAGCTACAAAGAGTAAATGGCTCCAGTCTAATGCATACCAAGTGCAGCAATTTCTTTTAACAGTTGACTGAAACCTCCACAATAAAAACAGCTTTGTTTTATATACAAAGAAGCCATGTTTATCTAATTCTAATTGAATTGAATGTACAAAATTTGCACCAGGTGGATTGCCATTACCTTTAAAACAAAAACATATTCTACTCCATGCTTCATGAATGTATATTAAATAGCATCAATGATGACCAAAAATGTCTCCCCCCCCTCTTCTGATTTCTTTTTTTTTTCAATTTACGACAAAGAAATGTGTTAACAGTAACTTCATGCAAAAATAGTTTAATCTGTACAGAATCTAAATATGCCTCATTAACATAACACAAGAACACTTTTTTTTTTCTTAAAAATGTTATCATGCTGGCCAAGCTCTCCAACTGTTATATGTTGTGATACGAAGGGAGGTCTGAACACAACAATGACTAACTTGATAAAAACTTTGAAAATCAAAAATCCAAGGAAATGAACTTTCAAATCATTACAAAGCCATCAAAAGGAAAATAGAAGCAATATCTGCAGTACTATAAAAAAATACTTTCCACAAACGACTGCCAAGGTACCTCTCTTTGCTTTCACTATTGACTTTGACCTGTGTATACACAATCTCTGGGACTTATGTTCATTGAGGCACTGTTTTGATCCTTCAATCTTCATTTCCTTTGCCAGAAACATAAAAGCACAAGCCAACTTATCAAAGTTTGAGGTTGTAGAGAAACTGGAAAGGGGGAGGGGGGGGGGAGGGGGGTCTTCTCCTAAAAATGTGGACCTTTTTAAACCCTTTAATTAACCCAACTAAAGAAATGGCACTAAGTCAAATACTGGTTCAGAGCAGACCTTTTTTTAACAGAAGGGGAGTCCTTCTCCCCCCCCCCCCCCTGAATCCCCTTCCTACAGTGAACAACATTAAAATTGTGCCCTTACATAATTCACAATTAACCTTCTTTTGCACTGTCAGCTATTGGCCTATGTTTTAAATCTAATCCAGTTCCAAAGTTCAGAGTGGCAGTGTTCTTGGTTTTCTACAAAAGCATGTCTGAGAAGTATATAACTGACTGAGGCTTTGATCAAAGACAGACAATGACGACAGAAATACAGAGCTGTCTGAGCTATATAACTTCATGGGAGGAATTCCTTTGAACTTGTGTCTTTTTTTCTCCTTGTTTTAAAAACTTGCATAAGGAAGACAGAAGAGGAGAAAGTTTCAATATAAACAGCATGAGATAAAAGGTTCCTACAAGAATGTTTCCATCTTAACAGCATGACAAAAAGTTACTAAAATGTTCATCCCCAAAGATAAATATACAGCAGGATGTGTCAACTATGACAATAAACAAATGTATTATCAACCTAATTCTGTTTTACATTTTGGGAATTAAACTAGGTATAAGATTCCATCAGGGATCTGACCTTGGACAAAACCTTAGAGCACATTCAGAACAGTGGACCAAATATGGCGACCCACTAAAGAGCTTGATGCTTAATTCCCGATTTTAGACACTGAATTGATTCCCCGCAGGAATTACACAACAAGCATTCAAGTGGTTCAGTCATACTTGATTAGCAGATCTGTTAGTCCGCCATTCTGAATGCACTCTTAGATTACAATGAGAATGGTCACAAAATGATTTAGTAATAGATCTAACATAAGCTCATCCAGCAATCTACTTCTCATTGCCATGCCCATCCTAGGGCAATGAACATGGTTATGTGGAATAAGACCCATTACGTTGCATTTCCAGAAAAGATGGGTCAGCCAAACTTGGTACCCATTAATTTCTGCAATCTGGCCTATTGTGCTGAGCTCAACACAAGAAACCAATATCACCCCAGATGCCTAATATAAATTCCAATGGCTAAACGTGGTACAACTGAGAGATTAAATTTGCTTTCTATGATGGACCAATCCAAATCAGTCGGCCTCGATGGGATAGGTCATATCAAGATAGTCCGTCCCATCTTGAGTGGAAACACACCATTTGACTGCACTAGAACAACTTTTTTAAGAGCAAGCTATTATTCTTTCCAGCAATTAATAAAGAAGAGGCAGTCAAAACACAGCCTGGTATCAAAGGTTACATTCCCATTGATAAAGTTGTGTCCCATCTTTACATCAGCTGTGGTAATATTGCCTCTCACAACAGGGTACAATGGCAAGGGTTCTACAGGGAGTTATAAACAACATGTGCCTGAACTATTGGTCAGGCCACATAGCCATGAGTATGGTCAGTTTTATTGACCCATTGTAAGCTTACGATAATCACAACATTGTCTTTTTGACTTTGTGTACTTGAACCACACAAGTGACCATAGATCTCGTAATTGGAATCACTCAACCAATGAAGGCTTCATTCAAAAGATATGTAATGAGAAAGTGGACCTTTTCAAAAATTTTGTAAAAAAAATTCATAAACTGATATGGGAGGAGGAGGATAAATATAAAACCTTAATATCCCGCGAAATGTGGAAGACTTTTATCTTCAGTTTATAAGGACTTTAATCCTGATGACATTTTGGAGCTAGGTTCCTTCTTAATTCATACATTACATTTACATGTTTATATTATAAATATAATGTGGTGTGTGTGTGCGTGCACGCATGCAAATGCACTTGTATTGATTAAAGGTCTTACCCTGGATCCTTTCTCTCCTATACACCAACTTCCTGACTGTGTGTGTGTGTGTGTGTGTGTGTGTGTGTGTTGTGTGTGCATGCATATGTTTGTGTGCATGTACTAAGGTCTTACCCTGGATCCTTTCACTCCTATACACCTACATCCTGTGTGTGTGCGTGTACATGTGCGTGTATGTATTTAAGTCTTACCCTGGATCCTTTCTCTCCTATACACCTACATCCTGACTGTGAGCACCTGGCAGCACATTCTGGGTTAATATTTTCAAATTGCTGAAAAGACGAGAAAAGAACTTCATTAACACATGTAACTTTGTTTATCTGTAGCCCCTTCAGAAAATACAAGTAAAACCATATATCTTTGGTGTCAAATCAACAAAAAATACAAAATAAGACGGAATTCTATAGTTTTATCACTTTTTGTGTTAAAGACTGCTTGCTGGAAAATAAAGGGAAACTGCTAAAAAATTTTCAAATATCAATTATGACAGAATACTTTGGTTTTTCATTTCAAATTGCTTGAAAAATATCCAAATTATCAAAATATTTTGGTATGAACATAACACATGACTTCATTGTGTTACCAAGAGGGAAATATCACAAAACAGCTGCAAGCACACCCTGGGCTGACTTTTTCACACTGAAAATAAAGAGAGGTTAATGGATAAGTCTGCTGCAAAAAGAGAGAAAAGTACCCTCAAATTGCTGTAATGGGAAAGAGAATCAGAGAAAGAATCAGCAAAATTTACTGATTGTAGGCTGATATCACAGAAATGCCCTTCTTTTATTCAACCATGCTCTTTCATTCTTTCAATACACCTACATCATTAAATCCACCCTGCACTTCCTGCACGATCTCTACACCAAACCACATCTCGTTCAGAAGATCAAGAAAATGTCTTTCCCTACAGATGGCATTTCCCAACAGCATGAAACTACCAAGATTGATGGCTCTGGTAATGAGAGTTTCACCCAGGTCCTGAGGTGACACTCTGTCAAATTGTGACCTCATCTGGCAGTTAAATGACCACTACTGAGGACATCTAACACCTCTAGAATACACTGACCTCAGGGACATTGGGCAGAAAAATAAATTTTGACTTTTTACTGTTTGAAAAGAAAGAAAGTCTGCCCTTTTGAAGACTGAAGTAATTTTTTCTTCAGTCAACAGTTTAAAATTGAAATAGTTTTCACCTCAAATATTTCGATGTCTAACAGAACATCTTCATTAGGGGATAACACAGCTGATGAAATTCTTCTCTGCCCTTTAACTTATAGTGTCAGTGGTCTAGTATATCAGCCTTTTATTTCCTTTTGCTGGCTTTTTCTGTACTGTACACAAAAATTGGTTCATCTCATCAATAACAAGTTGTACCACACACACATTAATCAACCAATTAATTAGTCAAAACTGTTCCCTCTGTTATTTTTTCTTATGGTCTCAAGATCAATGGTCTTGTATATCACAATATACTGTTATTCGCACATTAACAACACAGGATAATGTTCATCAGTAAATACCAGGACTGACTCTGGCATGCAAACACTGCAGATATAGGAAATCTCTCTCTCTCTGAATTCACAGAGACAAAACTGGGAATCTTAGTTTTTTAATCACTCTGTACAGCATCACGTCATGTTCCAAATGTGATGGAAAGCATTAAATCCCTTCCATCTGATAGGTGTGACCCGTTTCATTCTAAGAGATGATTAGCTATCTGAGATGGTGAAATGCTTTCTAATTTACATTCCTTGTGCATAGGTTATGATCAACAAAATGGTCACAGCAGCATTCCTGTGTGTAAACAATCTGCAATATTAGCCAATGTGATGGGGGAAGTTGACTTGTAGATTTGATGTCAGACCAGTAAAAAGGAGGATTTTTTTCAAACTTGCTTACATATTTCCACTTGACTAGTGCAAATTTTCAAAGTTGTTTGAATTCTTTTTCCAAATATCTATAAATTTCACCTACAGACTTTTTTTTAAATGCCCAAGCCTCCCCATAATCCATGGGCTGAAATGTTTTAAGTGCATTTATATAAACTTGAAATATTTGCAGCATTACTATAATTGAACTGAGACTTTAAAAAGTTAACTGTTTCCCTGCCATGTAAATAAATATCAATGTAGTCAAGCCATGTGGACATTTCAGCTTCCTTTTAGTTTTTATGAGTGTTTTACAAGAATCCATTTATGTATTCCAATTTACACTCGGTTAACTAAAAACAGTCACTGTAACATCACTTTGGGGCAATCAGTGACTGCATCAAAAAGAGGTCTCTTAAACAGTGGGTATCCCTCATGTTTTAAACTTAAAGATTCTTGTTTAGATTTCTAAATGGAGCTCTCTGCCCTAGAGCAGTTTAAAGCAAACTGTGTGGCTTCAGCCATCCAGTTTCTCTAAATCATTTCTCGTCTTATACAAAACCATATTGCTGACAGAAAAAATTGGAATAAAAGGTTCTTCTTTTCTTACTTCTCATAAATTTTGACACAAATAAGAAGAACCTGTCTGTCTGAATGTTGTTCTTTTTACTTCTCATTAAGTCTTCTTCTGCATTCAGCGAGAGTCCCCATGGTGTTCCATTGATCTACCAGTACTAAGCATGAGGGTTTCATTGAAAATGAGACCTTCATTGACTAAACAATCCCCTAACCCCAAGAAAAGCTATATAAAACTAAATGCCAGTTTATAAATGAGCACACCGTAGATATACATTACACAGACAACAATGCATAAATATTTGCTTCAAATAGCAACCCTGAATGAGCACATGATTAGTGAAAAATAAAACAACTTGTAATTGAAGATAAAATGTAAAAATTCCAAAAATGATACATTAACTACTTTTGAGGATGGTGAAAGGGGGAGAAGAAAATGCAGTTTAACACCTATAAAGGAATAACCATGGGCTAAAAGTATGGGCTAAAAGCACTCTCACTATCACACCAACTCCAGCAGGAGCAAGTGCACCTTTAATTTCAGAAGACTACAATCATCACCAACATCTTAACATAAACCGTTGCTGCCCATTTGGTACAGCATTCCACCAGGCCAGATTCCCTTATCAGGTCTGTATTACATCCTTAAAACCACAAGACAGCAGGCCTTGGATTAACTCCCAGTCAGCGGTTCAAGTGGCTACAGGGAGAGACACAGCTCTTCTTTGAAGATGGCCATCAGCGGGGATGCAACACACTTGCACTCTAGACTTCTTTTCCAGTCTCTTTTTAGACCTCTGGGCTATGCAGAATGCTGGAATATAGCCTGGGTAATATTGATGAACATTTAACTTTCAAACTTTGAATTTGCATGGTTCATAGAGGCATTTGAAGTTAGTATTGGTCTGGTGGATGTGAAATGGCTGTGCTTTTTATCTTCGTTCATTGGTCAATTGTAGGCAAATTACTCAATCCCCGGATGTTTCAATTTTTTAATATAAAATTTCAAAATCATATGAAATACTGTTTCTTGCATGTATCTTTTCCAAATAAATTCAATAATAAACTTCAAACCAGTTATATGAAATCTCAGCCAAATCAATGCAGAAAAAAATTCATTATTTGTACCCCTTCAAGGAGAGAGAGCTACAGAAAGCAGGAAGCCAGTTCATTGTTCAAGCCAGCCTTGGCAGCAGAGAAAATTAGTTCCCCAGACTTCCTGTGTTAGGGAATATCTTCTTAATGTCTGGGGGCTGGATGAGTCATTTGTTATACAACTCCTATTGTAGTAAGCTTGGCCCTGGTTTGTTTGTTTTAATAGGTGTCTCTGTGGTATGGAAAGGTGTCAATAATTGTTTACTAGTACCTGAAGTGTCCTTTGTGTATGAGTGCCTTGTGTGTGAGTGTGTTTGTTTGTATGTGTGTGTGTTTGTGTGTGGTATCAGGGGCGGATCCAAGGATATTTTCTGACAGTCTTCCAAATAATCTTTGTTTATCGATCCTCCATTTTTGACCGTCTTCCGATAGAAAAAAAAGATACCTGTCAATGTAAATTTGAAAATCTGACCGTCTTCTGGAAAACCCAGAAGACGGCCTCAATCCGCCCCTGGGTATGTATGTGAGTGATGGGGGAGAGAGCTCATGTGCCCACGTGTGTGTGTGTGTGTGTGTGTGTGTGTGTATGTGTGTACGTGTGTGTGTGAATGCATGCTTAAAGAAGTAGGACAGGGAGAGACAGAGCAGGGTTGGGGGAAAGAAGGTGGGTTAATATGGCACCTAACTATTCCACCTCTCAAGTAATTCAACTTATAATTGCACTCAAAAGCCTATAATAAATTTCCTGAAGAATTGTGTTGCATAAGAAGTTTAAAGGCCACAAATAGACCACCTATATATTGGAGGTTAGGAGACACAAATCTTTAACAGAGGCAGTAAAATGGATATCAATTGCATAAGATGAGCAACAATCAATTTGTGTTTCTGTAAGACAGCAGAAATCAATTGAAAAGTTAAAATTCAAGAGACAACAATACATAATCTTCCAAAGCTATAATCCAAAGAGAGAACTGATTCATAGGAAATAGCAGTGTTTCGTATATTTGGTTTACATGTCTCATTTAGAACGTTTCAATTCAACCAAGCATTTCCTCTCTTTCTCCTCAATCTTCAGTCTTTATGGTTTCTTGTCACTCTGATCTGTTGACAAGCAGGATTAGATCAAAACTGCTTCCTCTGCTTCCTTTGCCTGACATTTTGAAGAATCAGTGGTGAAACAATGAAACCTGACTACATATATCTGTCCTGAGAAAGGAACATATAAGGCACGTCAGTTTAGACAAGAACAGTTTAGACTGATGTGGCACCTCATTCTGATCTCTTCAACCCCACCCCTGTAAAAAAAGAAAAAAAAATCCTATCAAAGTTTTTGCTGTTATATGCCCCTTCTCCTCCTACATTCTTGCTCTTCAAATGAAGTCAGTACTTGTGCTTAGTTACAGAGTGTCATATCAGCTACACTGAATCAGACATCTAGTCAAAGATAAAATATTCACCCTACTACTCAAGAACCAAGTTATTTCAGGACCAATCTTAGCATTTCCAATCCAATACATTCCAATGTGAAAAGGGCCATAGTCACAGGTTAAGGATTAACTCTAATGCCATCCACAGATTAACTTTATGACAAAAGTCAGTTTGGTTTCCAGTCTCAAGTGGGCCTAGTGTGAACCCACCTGTACATACACATTTAATGGTTAAAAAAATTGCCGTCCCTCCTTCATTCTGAAAAACCAAAGTCTGTCACTTTATTTAAGTACACAGATAATGTT